TATATATATCATTTGCTTTAACGTCAGTTGGATTGAATAAACCAATTTCTGAAAAAAGAGACGCATATCGCTAGACATATATTCTTTTTAGATATATATATATTGGCTAAATTATTTAACTAACAAAAAACAGAGAATATTGTTATAATAAAGATTAATGTTATAAATATAAAAATAAAAAGAAGTGAAAAAATCTGAATAACAATTGTTCTCCCGAAACACATCGGCAATAGAGATTAATGGAATAAATTTCTATTAACTTTTTTCGCTCACAATCAATATCAAAAATTGCGAAATCATCAAAATTTTATATTATCCATCTCTGTCTACTCTTTGTAAGAAAGAAAATGTAAATCCCATGTGAATCATGACAAAATGTGAATAGGCATATAAAATAAATAATAACAAAGAATAGCAGAAGAAAAAGAAAAAGTACGATCTCTTATCATTTCAAGACGATGGATAACGCGCCTTCGAAACATGGTATATTTACGTATATGTATATCAGAAGTTGCATTGTGTCGGAATTCCGGTCTGCTTTTTTCAGGAGGGAGAAATAGATTTGACCTTATAACTTTTACGATTCGAAATTGGGGCCAAAGGGTCAAGGCACGAGGCGGAGAGGCGGAGAGAGCGAGAGAGAGAGAAAGAGAGAGAGAGAGAGAGAGAGAAGAAAGAAAAGTCTCGCGGCGCGCCATGACCCCTCGATCTGATATCCCGTTCGATTGTTCGCTAACACAGTTCCCTCGGATTTTGCCCTCGGTCCAGGCCCTACTTTGGACCGTAATTGACATCTGGAGGGAATATTACACTTTTTTTTTCTTCTTTATATACCAAAATATTATCTACCATCTGATAAAAGTGATTTCTCTGTTGATATGTATTCGCTATGTATGTAATAGTTCATATATATATATCTTTAAATCCGCTTATACATTACATTAATTAAAAGATATGTCTCAATCATTTTCTATTAGAAGATACGCTTAATAAGTAGATATGTCATTACTCATCTTGACGGCTATTCTCTCGAGATAAAAAAAAGCCTCATCAGACCCGCACCCGTCTGCCATTTCTCGATTGTCACGAATAAGTACAATTTTATATGTATATATATATAAATTTATAACTCGTAATGTGTATACGTGTTAATTTACTCTCTTCAAAGTAAAAGAAAAGCGCGACGGAAAGCGCTACCTCGAGAGAATCCCCGCGGTACATCGTTATATTTTATTATATAATATATATTTTTTTTAATATATATAATT